TCCCAATACATCATTTGCTGTTCAGTTTTATTGTATCGTTTGTTGTTGCTTTAACAATGCAAATATACAACGTACAAAGCACAAGACGAATAAACAAACATCGTGCATTCAGAAATACATGCAGCAGTATTAAGGCAACACACGCTTAGCCTTTTCTGAGACTCATCTAAGTGGTGAGTGCTACCGGTAGAGCAGGACATGCTTACCGTTGGTACCTGGTGTCATCACTGATTTTGCGTGATCAAGTCATATATCTTTCTGCACCACGTCGCCTTTTGCGCCCAGTGGAATCTGTTTTGGCAGGTAATCGAGACTGGTTATTCTCCGGTCTTGGCGTTTCAAAGTTATTTAGTAGGACTACTGAAAACGGATATGCAATAACGAAGACGACTGGGATGAAAACACGATATCCAATCAGACCGCCGTTCTTATTTCGAATGGCTTCCCAAAGCTGACTACGAGAGTAGACGCCTTGATAGATCAGATAATGAAAGAATTTGAGATTGTATCCCTGACAGACACAAAATGACAGATTACCACAGAAGTTATTGCTGCCGCATTTCGCTCTTGCAGTAACAGAGGCATACAGACGAGTCAGCCTACACAGTACCAAGTAACACTGCACATCGCCGCAACATGAAAGGCTCAGCGGGGCTGGGGAGGGGAGTGGCGGGGTCGTCTAAAGTAGCTCTGCATCGGTAAGCGTTTGAGTTAAAAACAGTGTTTGACAAAGATATGAAAGTACTTGGGAGAGATGATTGAAAACTTTGAACCAATTCGAAAATATTCTTCAGCGGAAATAAGACAGACGGTGGCCATTGCAGCGACCACGCTTTCGGAACACGGATGATGATGTTGTAAAACGTTCTCTGATTTGACTTTCGATATGTCCGACAGTCAACTCATATTTTAGCACAGAGATAAGGCTTGAAATGGCAAGGATGGGAAATAGGCATTGATGTAGGCTAGTGCACACGCTTGCATCGCGAAGATTACCAATCTTAGTTTTATCCCCTTTATGCGGAGCGCAATCGTCTTCTTAATGATAAGGGTATCAATTATTCTATGTATCAGGAAAAGCAAATTTTTAATGTTAAACATCAACACGTTGGTTTGATAGTCTTGGTAAGCGGATCCATTGCTAAAAGTAGCGTAAAACTAAATGCTGTCGTGAATGTGTAAAATACTCGATTCTTATTGGCCCATCAGAGGTTTCAAATTACAATAACAGTTGACTTGTTGTACGGTAGCTAAAACGGTAGCTACTAATATTTGCAAAAAAACTACATCTTTCCTTATCATTGACATAATGATGTTTTGACATATAGATCTACATATATAGTTCTAACGTCGCATCGGCAGCATTTCATTCAGGTTCAAATGTGAAGATAAAGTGGTTGACAATAAGTAATAGTATTACTGCTAAAACAAGGACTGGTCGTCTCGGAGTCAGTCCGGACTAGTACAAGCAGACACACACACACACACACACACACACACACACACACACACACATGCGCATGCACGTATAAGTGCAATATGTGCAATAATCTTGGACGCGATGTTAAACCCAAATACACCCCACCCCCTCATTTAGGCATTTGGACAGAATCGATACCACTGATGAGGTAATATTTGATTGATGTACATGTGCCTCCCTAAAAATAGCAGACGTTATCTCCCAAGGGACGCCATCATCAATAGTGAACCTCAATTATATAATTATGTCTACGAGGATTCATGACCTGAAGTAGACTTACAAATGATATAGATCTAACCTCGTCCCACAGTACGCTCCTAGTGACAGTTTTGTAAATATTAGAAAGTTAAATGCAGGAATAAAAGCGAGGCCATTGCTAACTTGCAAACACATTCACGGCTTCAACGTTGACTTAAGGTAGATGATCAATGTAGTTTTTTGGGTCGGTGTTGATTTTACTGATAAGTCAAAACGCGTCCATCTTTTGGATCAAACCAAGCAAACAAAGGCGTATATTTACTTGCTTGCTGGGTTGTTAATTCAGGCTTTACGTCACGGAGTGCTACCATATAACCTGAATTGTCAATCTTTCAATACGTGGACGTTCGCGGCAGTGTCTGTAACAGCACGACGCCATGTTGCTGCAACTTCTGCTTTCACTTAACTGGCAGTCGGTTCTTGTCCTACACACACAGAAGCTTGGTGAGTCATTTTAGATTGTCATTAAGTTCCATTCAGTGAATCGTTGCAGGAAGTGAGTGAGTGAGAATGGTTTTACGCCGCTTTTTAGCAATTTTCCAGCAATATGACGGCAGGGGACACCAGACATGGGTTTCATACATTATACCCATGTTGGGAATCGAATCTGGGCCTTCGGCTTTAACCCCACCGCCTCTCGCTGAAAGAGGTTAACAGATATTTTCAAGAGTGGTCCAGAAAACCCATATCATGGTTCTGACAATGATGCTTATGCTAAATGTATCCCATAACCGGTCAAGGTCCATATTACGTGCTGCTTTCTTACTTGCCGTGACAGTCTTCCATCCCAAATGCATGTGAACGTAGCAGTTTGAAATTGCACAGGTTTCGCATTCATTGATCATGAGTGTGCTTGAATTGTTTTTATGACACGCCCATAACAGTTGTGACCATGTAAATTCTACGATCAATGCACTTATATTGTACCACTGGAAATATAGTGATATACATTTTCAATTTAATGAAAGAATATATATTGTTTGATTGTGAACATGTCTTGATACCTTGGCTGCAGGAAACATAATCCAGGTTGATAACGATAGCCCAAACACACCCGACATCATCTTGGGGTCAGAGGTGTATTTTGACCAAAAATAATTGTTTCGAAGAATTTTGTATAAAACAGGTATTTTGATGATAGAAGCTGAAATAGGGAGTATTCAAACCAAGCAGTTGGATTTTTGTCATCCATTGTGGAATGACACACCTGTTATATAAATACGTCAATATCCCCAGTACCAGGATGTTTGATAAATCAAGAAGTGTCGTTGCTCGACTGTGGGCTAAGTACCGTGATACGGAATGGTGGGCAATACGGAACCATACGCAAGTTTATCAACATGGTGGACAGACCAGATATTGATCTTCGTGCCCGAAATTAATTTTATAGACATTTATCGTCATAACCCCGTATATAATAAAATAATAAAGTCCACGTTAGTCCATCATCTTCTTTATATCAGTTTCATACATAGTACTTTCGCTGTCTCATGACAGCTCTTCAGTGTAACTGACAATGACATATACTGACGTCATACTTATAATGACGTCATAAATTACAACTGTGACGTCATAATGTATTTACACACTCCAGCGACGACACAGAATCACGAAGAGCTTACAGTCGACATTCATGCATTCAGTAGAAGACTGAGACTCATGGAATATTTTGAATGCGATGATCAAGAGGATGATATATCCGTTTCCGATAAAAATTCGATCACAAATAGACCATTATTAAGGAACAAAAGCATGTTCAATCCAAAAAAGAACAGGGATAAATACCTTGATGACTACTTAAACAACCTGGAGAAATATCCTCTACGGAACATCAGGAAGTGCCATGCCAACTTATCACTGGAAGGACGTAAAGCTGTGGAGGATCTTAAAAATGACAAATCGATTGTTATTAAGGAAGCAGATAAAGGCGGCGCAGTCGTAATAATGGACTCGGAATATTATGAATCAAAAATTTATGAATTATTGCAAGACAAGGAATTTTACATTGAAACAGATAATACTGAAAAAGCTGTAATTAAGAAGATTAAAAAACATAGTGATGACTTCTCTGGAGATCTACACCCTAAAGAAAAAGACTACTTAATAAACTGTGACCCGCAGACGGCTAATTTCTATGGACTACTCAAGATCCATAAAAGTAAATTGTCATGATAACTAATGCTATTGCCGAACAGAATGCGGAGTATATCGAAATTACCAGCTGTCCTGATTTGACATTCAGGCCGATTGTCGGAGGACCGAACAGCCCGACTCAGCGCCTAAGTAATCTCGTCGATATCATTTTAAAACCATTAACAAAGCATGTACCGAGTTTTGTAAGAGACGATGTAGACTTTCTTTCCCACCTGCCCGATGCCGTACCTATTGATGCGACTATAGCCACCTTTGATGTGAAGAGTTTATTTACCAACATACCCCATGATCTGGGATTGGAAGCAGTTCAGTTTTGGCTGAGAAAACATCCTGAGGCTATCGACACTGAATTTTCGGAAAGTTTCATCGTGGAATCTTTAAGATTAGTCTTAGAAAATAATACCTTCTGTTTCAACGGAAAATTCTATCATCAAAGAAAGGGAACGGCCATGGGAACGAAAGTCGCCCCAACATACGCTACACTTGTGATGGGTTACATAGAGGATATTCTTTACAGGAAGGTACACGATTCCATGTCAGAATCCATTGCCAAACATGGGCGCGAAACTTGGAAGCGATACTTGGACGACTGCTTTTTAGTTTGGCTCTCAAATTTAGACATTTTTCTGGATATTATTAATAAGCTCCATCCTTCAATCAGTTTTACTATGGATTCTAGCGAGAGCGAAATTCCATTTCTGGACGTCCTTGTAGTTAAGGAAGATACTAAATTGAAAACTGATATTTACTACAAACCAACGGACACCCATCAATACCTACAATTCGGTTCATGTCACCCCAGGCATACACGAACTAACATTCCTTATTCACTTGCGCGGAGAGTATGTACCATCGTGTCGGAAACGGATAAAAGAGATTTAATATTGAAAGAATTGATGGGGTATCTCAGGAAGCTAGGATATTCGCTTCGCGTCATAAATGACGCAATAGAAAAGTCTTTAAAAATTCCAAGTAAAAACTCTCCTGAAACCTAATGAAAAATCTGTGGGCGATCAAATTATACCGTTTGTGTCCACCTTCAATCCTAATAACTGTGATATCATGCCAGCCATAAGGGACAACCTCCCAATTCTACAGCAAAGCGATAAAATGAAACAAGGACTGAATAAATTTAAAATTATAAAAAGTACCAGGCAACCAAAAAATCTCAAGCAAATTCTTTGTCCATCCAAATATTCTTGTACAGAGAGTGTACCATGTGTTAAGGGGCATTCACACGGTACAACTAGTTGTATACAATTTGTTGCATGCAACACATTGCATCGTGTGAACGGGCAAGTCGGTCCAACTTTTGACGCATGCAACTTGTTGGACGTGAGTTGTACGGAATAGGACATGCTCTATTTTCATGCGACAAGTTGTACGTACGCAGCCAATCAAAACGCGTATCCAAATCACGTGATATTTTCACCTCCAAATGTAAACAATCATGGCGACCCCAGCGTCCCGCTTGAAGAAATTTGAGATGTCTAGAGTGGAAACGGAGCGGTTTATCGGCTATTATGCGTCCCATGATTGCTTGTGGAATGTATCCAGTCCATTTTATTCCAAGCGGGAACACCGACAAGCAGCCTACATCTCTATTGCAGAGATGATGGGTAATGGGATTACAGGTGAGAATTGATGAACATGATATGCGAAGTATCAGCTGGTGACACACGGCATTTGTAGAAGCTGTACTCGTTTTCGGGCATTATGACAATGCGGAAATGGTTAGTTTGGTACATGTGTACACATAGAAGGGTCAGATAACGATTTCATACTTCTAATTCATTGTTTTATGTGATGAACTCTGACCTCTTACTTCGGCGATTGATAGGTGTGTACAACGTACGTCTGCTCTTCGAGCGTGTTCAGACAGATCAACGAACATAAAATGAATCAGAAATACGTGTTCAGCTTGAAATGATGTTGAATTTGAGAAGCTATATCTCATACTATGTGCAGTCACCGATATATGTTATTACAACCCTTTTTAATGTCGATGCACGCTTTTCTGTTTACACTATTTGACCTACATGCGAGAGGCTCCATTGGAGTGATACATGTCATGCTAATGTTGGAATAGAGACCGCTTAAGTATGTTATTCTATGAAATGATAAGGAATATTCCGGCTCAGTGATTAATTATATTTTATCTGGATATTTTACAACAATGAAATATTAACAATCAATCATATTGTACAGCTGCATATATACATACAAAAATCATTTAAATTATATTAGCAACAATTCATATCACAGTTAATTCAAGTAGACATATATTTCCATGATGATTTTCAGACATGATCATAAAGTACATGAGCATATTCCAAATAACAGTCTTACAAATAGTCTTACTTTGTCATGTGTGTGTGTTATCAATCATTATGTTAATTCCACACAGTTCTATAATGTTATCAGATTGTTCACACTAATGAACTCAAGTTCATGTTTATTTATGTTCTTATGTAATAAAACCTAAATTGCTCTGTGTTGTGTATCTTAATCTTAATAAATTCAGTCCCTAGATGTAATATTGAATTACATTCACTCCATCAGTAAACATTGTTAAAGAATCCAACTACCCGTCACTTTCTTGTTTCCAGCATTTGATACTAATATGACAATATTTATGTCTCTTCTAGTTGATCAAGTCCCAACTAAAATTTCTACCTTACGAACATACTATGGTAAGGAGCTGAGGAAGGAGACCCTGTCCAAGAAGAGTGGAGCAGGGACCGATGAGGTCTATGTTTCCACATGGGAATGGTTCCAACTTCTGGATCCATTTCTCAGGAGGCAGGTTCATCAAAAGAACACAGTAAACAACATGGTTGGTGTCATGAAAATAGGCATATTTATCATTATCATGATTTTGTTGATAAAATTCATTCAAATGAGGGCGGCCTGTGGTTAAAGGGTTCGCTTGTCACGCCGAAGACCTTGGGTTCGATTCCCGACATGGGTACAATGTGTGATATTGCTGGAATATTGCTAAAATCGGCATGAAACCATACTCACTCACTCATTCAAATGAAAAGATTGTACTATTTGTACTGTTGCTGAAGTGCGAACATATGAATGACCATGAACTTAAAGAACTGTCTCCATCTGTACTATAGGTAAAGGGTATTAGAAATATAACTTTAGATGACATGGTCCCATTGCCACTGAACCTGACCATTTGTAGAAAAATATTCAGCAAATTCCTCTCTAACAGTTCTTGCATTGGCAGTGTTTCTGTTTCCCCCTTGCTGGACAAGTGATGTTGCTCTACTCTCTCTTACAACAGCAATATCAGTGCTATTTGATTCTGTGTATGCATTGTCACATTTTGTGCGAAGAAAGTTGTGAAGAGCCACAGATGCCATAACAATCTTAATGCCATTTTCAGGTTCAACAGTAATAGTTCTTTGAAATACAGCAAATCTGTTTACAAGTATGCCAAATGCATTTTCAGAGACACGTCTAGCTCTAGAAAGGCGATAATTGAAGACCTTTTTGTCCTCTGTAGTATCTCTAAAGGGAAATGGTTTCATGATATATGTCTTTAGTGGGAAAGCATCATCCCCAACAATGACATGGGGCACAGGTTCTTGGCGTCCAGTAAGGGGGGAAGGGGGTGGTACATTCAGAGTATTGTTCTCCATAGCTGCATACAATGAGGAGTTTGCAAATATACCTGCATCACTGGCTCTTCCATTGGCTCCTATGTCAACATAAATAAACTTATAATTTGCATCAACAAGGGCCAACAAAACAATGCTGAAGAAATTTTTATAATTGTAATACAATGATCCAGAGTTTGTAGGGGCCCGAATGGCAATGTGTTTCCCATCCAGTGCTCCTATACAGTGTGGGAATTGCCACTTGTCACTGAATCCCTGACTAATGTCTGCCCATTCCTGTTCTGTGGTTGGAACCTGAAATTGGAAATAAAAAATAAAGGATAACATTGGAACCTTAAATTTACAGAACAGCTCAGAGAGACAAGACACAGATGAACAGGAGCAAAGCAGCGCCTCTGACAGTTTGTTCACAAGTCAAATAGATACAGAAGACTGCCCTTCTCTGCCCCTGGCAGAGTCAACACCAATCAAGAAAGCAAGGCGCTCAGACAATAACAGTTTGCAAACACAAGTTCTGCAAACACTGAAATCACTTGAGCAAAGAAGGGCAGCAAAAGAGAATAGTGGGGACATGTTGTTTGCTAAATACATAGCGAGTGAATTAACAAATGTCACCAATGACAGAAAGAGACAAGAATTAAAAATAAAAATACAACAATTAATTTTTGAAGCTCAGTTAGACAACTGAAGTGGAACTGTTATTTAGAGGTTATTTATGATGCACAATTTGAAAAACATGAGAGTTTTGACCAAATCTTGTATATGTATTAATCAGGGGATGATGTGGTGCATTTTGTCAATTAGAATTTTTTTAAAAATTCATGTTTCCATGGCAACAATTTTTACTTTGACTCTGTACATAGTGGTGTGTTTTTCCAGACCATATCCAGACCAGTACTCTTTCTTGAAACTGTACACACACAAAAGACCAGGTTGTCAACTGGTGCCTATGCTATTTATATTGTTTTCAATAAACTTTGCTTTCAGGAAATAATTTTTAATAAAAATATCAACAATACCTTCAGGTAATCATCCTTCAATGAGTCATAAATCGCTTGGCAGACATGAGGAATAAATCCACATATTGTGTTGCTTGGTATTCTGTATAGATATTCCAGTGACTTGTAACTATCTCCTGTTGAAAATTAAAAAAACCATAAAAATATGTATTCATAGATTATCATTATAGCATCACTCAATCTTGGAGATAACATTACCTACCATAAAAAGATGTAATACAAAGTAGAATTTAAACTTAAATCAATTATTATATCATTTACAATTGCATACCCACTTCATGTAGTACATATGTACTAATTTTCACATCTTTGAATCAATAACAAATGTAAATGAAACTGTTTCATGGCATCTGGTTATTTACACACTTGTGTCAATTATTATATCACTTTGATATATACAGTTCACAATAATAATTGATGAAAATATGTCATGATCTGAACTTGTAATTATTTTTTTATAGAATAAAAACAACATTAATTCTAACTAACATTTCTAATTAATGAATTCTAAGTAACAGACCCAGAATGAGAATGTAAATGCCAAAGATGGTGGTTGTGTCTCTTAATGTTAACATGCCAATTTAAAGTGCCTATGTATTTGTGTCAAATAAAGAATTGTTTGCGGGTTTTGAATAATTTAATTGAGTAAAATGTAATAAGAAAAATATTTTGAAATAATAAAGCTGTATGTGATCAATTGTGCGAAGAAGAAATTGTCTGCACTTAACATATTTATATTTCAAAACAGACACTTCACATTGATGAAATATACCTGAACATGTACAAAATAAATACAATTCATCTTCAAAATGAGCGTTTATGTTTTCTATGGCAATACATTAAAGATAATAGACTTACAGTGGAAAATCAAGCATTCTCATTCACCCATACTCAGTTTTACTGTTTGCCTATATACTGGTATGATGAGATGTAGCAATGTGTTTGTTGGAGGTAGTGATTGGCCTAATCTTTATTTTAGGTAACGTAACAGATACAATAACATATGCGAAAAGCTGGCGGGCACACAGTTAGACCCTCGTTCAAAGCTCCTCGCACACTTATTCCGTTGATGCATAACAAGCGATTATGCCATTGTACAATGTGAGGAGCATTTGCCTGTTCATCGTGTCCTTGCCCTTCAATAACAGCTGATCACGGGTAAACAATAGATCTCTTTTCGCAAGAGTATACTTACCGGTGGCTAGATAGCGGAGAGTAATGGCCAACTTCTCACCGGGTGGAATGGCATCACGCATGGGGGTGTCTGTTTTGGCAATAAGAGGTGACACGCGATCTAGGAGATCGGTGAAGCTTGACTTGTTCATGCGAAGAAAATTGGAGAAGGCCTTTGTATCCTCGGCTTCGAGCTCAGCCAAAAGAGCGCTGTATGCTCCAAATTGCCCTCGCCTAGCAATCCATGGCCTGACCCAACATGACCGCTTGGTTCTTACTTGTGAACAATCCACAAGCAACGCAACTGTGGCAATCTCAAGTATATCGTCATCGCTATCATAGTAATACGCGGACGCCATGACGTAATGTAAACATCGTCTTAAAAATTGAGATCTCGCGAGATCCGAGTTGTATGCAACTCGCCGCCGTGTGAATGCCGAGTTGTATACAACTTCAGTTCGTGCAACTAGTTGCATGCAACAAATTGTATACAACTAGTTGTACCGTGTGAATGCCTCTTAAGTAGATGTAACACACCAAGTTGCGGCCGTGTAACATCATAAGTGAAGGTACTACTTTCCTTTTTGCAAATGGCAAGGGTTTCAATGTGAAAGCCGACATGAACTGCCGCAGCAAAGATGTGGTGTATGTTATGAGATGTTCGGGATGCGGCGAAAACTACATCGGTGAAACCGGCATGGAATTAAAAGATAGAGTCACTGTACACAAACAGCAGATTATACACCCTAATGTTCGATGCTTAGGTGTCAGCAAACACATTGATGATTGCGGAAACGGGAAATTTACTATTTTTCCGTTTTATAAATTGTATACAAGTAACAAGCAGCTGAGACTGGAAAAAGAACAAATGTTGATGAAACCAAAATTGAACTCTAGAATGTATTAATAGATTTGTCATTTCAATCGTAAATGTTGCACTGTTACTTTACAAATACAGTATATTTAATTCAAATGTCTCCCTACAATTGTTAAAGCCCCATCTGCGGTAGGAACTACCGCACTCTAGTGGGCGGAGCTTATACGAGTGATCTGACAGGTCAATATGACGTCATGATAACACACACATTTCATTGGTTATTGCGTAAACGGGTGACGTCATGTAAACACCCACCCACGTGAGCCGTTTGACAACAAGGACGTAAGTTTTAATGGTAATAAATATCTATCAAACGATTCCAAGACTTTTCAACAAACGCGTAGGTCTTTGGTTTCAAAACCTACCTGCCATGTCATCTTCACATCTTCATAAAATGATACCGCGGAATGTCCACGATATATCCAACGCAGTCCAACACAGAAATTATAGACGTTCTTAAATTGTTCTGAGCTATTCTAGATCTTCCGACGACAACGAATTAATACGTTTGTCGTGATGAATATGAACAGTGTAATTGAAAACAAAAAAAACCATAATATGTGTCACGGCACCAATCGACATCCTGTGGTGAACGGTATATCTGCAGTTTATAAATAGCATTTCTCACATATACACGGTAATCGGTGATTTCAACAGTGTTTTTCTTCGTTGTGTTCGTCTTGCCTTCATCTGGAATCTGGATGACAACGATCGTGTAAAAAACCCTGGTAATGGTCAAAAATATTTTCACGTGATCAAAGTAGTTTTTTGTCGTTTCCGTGACATTTTTTCATTGCCCAGTAGCAATGTATTTTGGCAAAGTCACACTTGTCCGATGAAGCTCTTCGTGCCGAAGTAACTCGATCCGTGAAACTTGGCGAGTCCCAGTGACCCAGATCCTTCTGGATTGGCATGCCAAGTGTCATTTGCATAAGGCCATCCATATTTTTTGTTTGTGTTTCTCCCCTCAAGCCTAAACTAACCAGAGAACGGCCGGACGAGATATTATATATATTACTTATCAAAACATGTCTTTCAATAATTGTGTAAGTTATTTTATGACATTTAAAAAAAAAGTTTAAACACTTGGTACTGGAATCTGGTCTATGAATTTGTTTATTATGAAGCGAATTTTTAATAAACAACGGAACAAAGATAAAGTTGATCTGGTTCTTTTATAAAGTTGAGCTAGTAGTATTTCTTTTAATAGATCGGTGCGCAATTTTCCACAGCGGCAGCAAAATTAAGATACGAAAACATTATATTATTTCACGTCGCAATGGAAATAAGAATATTAAAATACGGACAGCCTCACAGACTTCGAAACGATGTTCAAATAAATATTTGTTCACATTAATTCTGTCATGTGCGAGAAAATGGATTTCAACATTATTTTCATCAAGCTTATTCAGGTCGCTGGCTGCACAGATCATCCCTCTTGTAAACTACTTCGGCATGAACACATGTTTTGTCGCGAAGCTCAAAGCAACAATGTTTCTCTCAGATACATTTTTTTCTCGATCCATGACGAGCATCTGTCATAATGTGCCTCAACAACCTTCATGGTCAGTTGAATTCAACAATGTTATACACACGGCCTCATTCACGGCTTCATCACAAGATTCCTTCCAAATACCCACCACGTGATCAGGGTTACGACCTTGGGATGAATTAATAAATTAATTTGCACTTTTAGCAAAGATTTTTTTTCGTGAATATTATTATTCAAAAATATCCTGTACATGGTACTTTGGGATTGCACTGCGGATTTCTTTTATTACTTTATAAAACTTTTTGTTTTCCCCTTTCTGACCTCGCGATCTCCTAGCAACCACGCCCCATAAGTGCATCGAGTTGCTGCTTACAACTGACAAGAACTTTGCAATTTCGCTTGTCTTCAATATGAGCAACAAAACATTTTCATGTAAATCCTAATTTGACGAAGAGTTGTTCGAGATAATCAGGAAGCCTTTGGTCATTTCGATTGTGACATTGGTGACTTTATCGTGGAGAAAGTTCCAATTCAAGATGACTTCATTCCAATTCACAACTCGAATCGACAAGATGGCGCCTCTCTTCCCGCCCTTGCAAGTGCAACAGAAACTTTGACAAATTCAGTGCCGATTCTTGGAAGTAGTGAATCAGTGTCACAGCGAGATTTCATTGTGGAACCAGATAAAGCCGAATATGTATGTTCACACTTCTTTTGTCAACCATGCCTTTGCATGACACGGCACAGACAATCGCAGTTAGGGAATGGTGCGGCCACCATGTTGCAGAAATTCGTCGATTCGAACACAGTGTTTCTGGACTGAGCTAAATAAACGAAGTGTTTGGAGAGATCGCAGATACTTGGACTTGAAGAAACGGAATTATACGTTGCAGCAAATGAAGGATTGGTGTGGACAAAACGGGAAAGGGATCCCAGATTGTATTTTTAAAACTTGTGCGCGAAGTGTATCCAAATACCCTGAACAAAAAATACCTGGGACCAGTGTGGATCTAATGATCAAACTCAGTTTTGTGTGTGAAAATTCTGTGAAAGAAAAGGAAATTCATAATTAAAGTTGTCTTGGAATATGTGTATTGGAGTTTTCGTTTATCGTAAGTACAATATTATCCGGATACGCCTTCTGTAGGCCAAAACATCAAGTATATTCAGTTACTTATTGACCAGTTGCTTATGTGCATTGTAATGTTGATACACGTAATATATTCATCCATTGTAGTCAAGCTGAGAAATATTGGCGCAACTTCTGGTGCTTCAAATTAGGCCCCTTCCTCAACACTAGTTTAAACATCTCTGTAATAATTTACGTTTTATGAATATAAACTGATTATTGTGTGGCACAAATCTAACTGTTGAATGCAAATGACCAAAACTAAACAAATATCTGTAATTTTCGGATTGAACTGAAAGAATCGCGTCGTCAATTTCGTATTTAAGTATCGTTACTGTTACATTAACTGAAACTGATGTTCTGCTGCTGTTCTGCCGTAAAAATATACAACACAATACACTTTGACCACAAATGCATTAAATGTGCCACATGTACACATGACCATGTGCTTTGCTATTTATAGCGCAAACGTAAATAAGCTCCGCCCACTGTGATCGATGCAGACGCCAAACACGATCGATTCGATTTTTTAGGATAAAACTACAGAAAATTTATTGACTTATATCTTGATATGGAGCCATTTGTTGTATCCATGGTTTGTCATTCAAGTTGATACGAAGTTTGACGGTCAATGGTGATCTTGTTCCCGTATGGTTTTCAAAAAACGTCTCCCGACACTCGGTTGTGTTTACATTGTCGGTCATTGTTCGAAACTGAAACACCGACACCTTGCGGGCTATTTATAGTCAGGGTGGGGCTTTAAATTACTTGGTGTCGTCGCTGGAGTGTGTAAATACATTATGACGTCACAGTTGTAATTTATGACGTCATTATAAGTATGACGTCATTATATGTCATTGTCAGTTACACTGAAGAGCTGTCATGAGACAGCGAAAGTACTATGTCTGAAACTGATATAAAGAAGATGAGGGACTAACGTGGACTTTATTATTTTATTATATATTACATGTACACCGAGTGAACATTTACCTCATTTTTGTATATATATATATATATATATATATATATATATATATATTCTTGTACAGAGAGTGTACCATGTGTAAGTAGATGTAACACACCATCTATATATATGACTATATATACAAAAATAAGGTAAATGTTCACTCGGTGTACATGTAATATATAATAAAATAATAAAGTCCACGTTAGTCCCTCATCTTCTTTATATCAGTTTCAGACATAGTACTTTCGCTGTCTCATGAAGTCATATTATATGTCATTGTCAGTTACACTGAAGAGCTGTCATGAGACAGCGAAAGTACTATGTCTGAAACTGATATAAAGAAGATGATGGACTAACGTGGACTTTATTATTTTATTATATATATACATATATAAAGAGTTTTAGAAGCCCCGAGTAAAAACGCAACATAAAAAAACGAATCGCCAAAACGCACCATTTCAATGGATATGTGGGTATCATGCACCCATTTCTCGCGAAAGCGAAAATGCACGAACTGTCACGAACTGTAGTGGGTATAAAACTGTGGCCGATTCTTGGACCTACCACTCCTTGGTCAACAATGCCACGCCTAAATCAAATTCTGAGAAATCAGGCTGTCGGACGTTTGGAAGCTGGAGAGTCTGTCCAAGAAGTTGCCCGTCATTTCAACGTTAACATAACCACAATTTACCGTTCTGCATCGATACAATGCTACACAGACCACAGATGACCTTCCTCGGAGCGGTCGTCCTAGGGTCACCATACCTCGACTAGATCGGCAGATTACCCGTCAACACCAGCGAAATCCTTCCCTAACTGCAAGTGAAAGTGCTCGACAGACCACAGGAACACATAATCGACACATTAGCCGGGACACTGTGATCCGACGTCTCCGTTCCAACAACTTCAGATGTCGCCGACCAGCACGTCGTCCTGTTCTCCGACCACGGCATCAACAAGCACGACTTCAGTGGGCACAGGGTCATCGCAATTGGCGTCATCGTGAGTGGAGGCTTGTCATCTCCTCTAATGAAAAAGTCGCTTTTGTGTCT